CATCTGCTGGTTGGAAATCTGCTCGCACCAGTCAGTCAAAAACAAACCAGTTTTACCAGATGAGATACTAAAACTGGGATTATTTTAATTTAACCTTGTAAATTTATGAGAGAACAGCAAAATAGTCAACTGTAGAAACTTGCTGTAGTGGAAAACACAAGAGCCAAACAGTGCCTTTGCAGTCCCTCATCTTCAATGCCACTGGTTCAAAGCCCAGTCAGGTAAAACTAGTTCATCTAATTAAAACTTTGAATGATTTAAGCAAAAAAACTCCACAACTGCTAGAAAAAAGGAAGACAATTTCACTCTAAGCTTGGAGGGTTATAGCTGTAATAACAACAATCCCTAAACAACAATTCCTCATGTGGTTCAGAAGATATTTTGTTACTGACAAACAGGGTTGACTGTAACGAAGTAAAATTACTTGAGTATTGTACTTAAATACAGTTTTTGAGAATTTGTCCTTTACTTGAGTAGCATTTAAAATGATAAAAATCATACTTTTACTCCTCAGACTTTAGTTGATTTTTCATCTGTGTTTGTGTAGTTTTTGTCTATGCTGTTCCACCAATGCTAAAATTACACACTACACCCCTATACAGTAGGTGGTGATATGCAGCTTTACGCTAGTTTCAAGGAGGTGAAAAATAATGTTTTTTTTTTGTCCAATAGTGTTGCTGTATGTACATTAGGTATAGGTGTACTAGACATGTTTCAGCACCATTGTAGAGTTTTGTTTAGAACCTGACTTGTCCTGATTTCAACATGGCCTTATCTCATTTAAGACTTGTTAGAACACCCATTTGTTCTATTAATGGATTTCTACCAAGGGTTTCTAGTTTATTGTAATTAATATTTTAATTTCAGCGAACTATATTAGACATAACAATTAAAAAGCTCAGATTAGATTTAGAGCTCCTTGGCTCTATCAAGCTTTTCCAAACCTTGCTCTTGAAGTGGTGACTATGTAGACTAAATGAGCTGGCAGAACTTGTAAAAGTGGTATAATTAGGAAGATAAAGATTTCAGTAGTGCAGGGAGTAGGTATTCACCTTGCAACCAAAGCGTTGCCAGTTCAAATCACCACCTAAGTGCATGATGTCATTACGTTCCTGAGCTAGGGTTGGGCAATATTGGCAAAATAATTAATCACGATTAATTGTGGTATTTAGCCGATAACGATTAATTTGGCGATTAATGCCTTGGAGTCCCTGGACACTCTCATGTCCTGGTCACATGACCAATTTAGTGGGAAAAATTTGTTCTTCATAAAAATCTGTTCCAAATTTTGTCAAAATTACAGACTTCAGGCTACACATCAAATTTTTAATTGTGTTGTTAGACCAAGAAAAACTGGAGTTATGATAAATAAATTACAGAACTTTTTTGTTGTTTTAATGTTCGTCATATTGGACGCAGAGAGGAGCAATGAGCGGACTGGTGGCATTAATCGTATTAATCATCAAGTGCCCAAAAATAATCGATTAATGTTTTTCTGACGATTAATCGCACACGATACGATTATGCCCAACCCTATCCTGAGCAAGACTCTTAATCCAACTTCCCCATGGATAAATCTTAGTGATTGTGGTGGTCTGAAGGGACCGTATGTCAACCACACTTGCACCACTGAGTGTGATAGAGGAGTGAATGAATGATGCATGAAATTATACGTCTTTGAGCATCTAGAAAAGTGCTATAGATTAATGCATTATTATTATAAATTTGGAATCACTGATCTGTGCTATAACAGAAAACTTTCCTAATTGTTCTCAACTACACTCAAATGAAATGCCACACACTGTACTTTAACTTAAGTAATGATTTGACAGAACTACTTTTACTTTTATTGGAGGAATATTTGACCACTTTGACTCAAGGAAATTGAGTACTTTGTCCACCACTGGTTCATGCCAAAGTTTAATTCAGAGTGACACCTGGAGTGTATTCTGAATGACTCTACGCTGTATCTACAACAAATTTAAGCATGACATAAGTATAAAACTGATTGATTTACAGCTATTTTTTTCTGTTTTGTAACGTGAGTTGACTGAGGCAGCCATCTTGCATTGGACTGACTCCAGTTTTCAGATGTAGAGGTCGGTCCACGTCTTACTTCATCTTGAAAGTTCATTGAAGTTCATCAAGTTGTTCAGGAGATATTTTAATAACAGTTGAAGATTAGTACCTTTAAATATCTGTGAAATTGACTGAGCCACTTTTAAGGTCAGTTGGCTGTGGCAGCCATCTTGAATCAGATTGACCCCCATAATTAATCAGTTTAGAATAGATGTACATCCAGTGATTACTACGTGTCTTATATCCGAAGGGGTAAGTATATTTTATAACAGTCTGACACACAAAGGGGTAAATACATTGTTGTCTTTGCCTTTTTGGTGGCTGCCAGTAAAAAGTCTAAAATGGACAAATTATAACATATTTTATTTAATCCTGATTCAAAGAACACTAAGCATTTTGGAAAGGGGGATCTACAATAAATTTAAATGTTATACACACTACACCAGTGGTTTCCAACATGGAGGGCATAATAATTAAATAATACAAAATAATAATTAAAAGTCTGTATGTAACTAAGTTCTTCTTTTTTCCTTTTCCAAATAAAAGTTTGTTAGTATAAGTTGAACATATCTTTGGGAGAAGTGAGGGATTGGGGGGGATCTCAATGGCGTGGAAATAAAAAAGGCAGACATTGAAAAATATAGGTTGGCAACCACTGGACCTTCGTGTTGAACTTCTTTGTGACCTTTAAATGTCTGAGTGTAAAACTCAAATAAAGGTATGAAGGAAATTTTGTAATTGATTAACTGAATGTTAGATGCAGTTTTGTATTTTTATACTTTCTGATCATTGCAGCCATAGGTTTAAAGCAAAGAATGAGAGTTGTTGTGTGTGTTCTTTCTTTCTGTATAAACAAAAGCTGGTTATGTTCTGACGTAAAAGGTACCAGAAGAGACTGAAGAGGTTAAAAGGCTGAATCATGATATTAGGGTAGAAGTGTTTTTTTAGTGTTTTGCAGGGTTTCTGGTTAGACCCTGTCTGAAAAGACTGGGCTGTTTTGTCTGGGTTTGAGCCCAAGTCCTTAAGCTGAGGTCTGTGCAGTATCAACCTGATTGGAATCAGAGATGAGAATAAAGAATTGAGAAGAAATCCAGTGGGTCCTGCTATTATTCAGATATGCCATTGTTGAACAGCACATTATTTTCTATGGGTACATAAATAAAGCAATGCTTAGTTAAATAAGTTGTATCTACCAGTAGGCTGGATTCTAAAGTATGAAAGACAAAAGAAATCAATTTACACTCCTTCCATTTAATAGACATTTTCTTAAAAAAAAAAAAATCAAAGATACAAGAATGCATAGTGAGCCACACCCACAGTCGGCTCCTTACTGACATGAAAACATGGAGGACATGAGAAGGCAACAATATGCTAAAAAAATAAAAAAAAAGTCAAACACTGCCAGTATTTAGTTGAGTCCATACATCCTCTTATGGTCTCCTAGACACAAAACAACTGAGATACAACTGTTATGTAACCTCAAACACACACAAAACACAAGCATACACACTGTCAGACAAAGTAAATATGTGGGTGAAACGGCAACAACAGGACGAGAGAAAGAATCTTTTCACAGACAGATATAAGTGAAAGTTTTACACAGCATCAGCTCGTTGTGATTCAACCACTCTCTGGTATCTATTGGCCCATGACTGAAATGACAACAGAAAACACAAATCATCTCAAAACTTTTTAAATTGTTAGGTTGCAAAATATATACAGATGTTTATTTTCATTTGGGTAAAATTATTTGTGATTATTTTAAGAAACAATAATCCACCACTATCTGGTTATTATTGAAAACCTCAGCTGTGCATCGTGATGCACTATTAGCTGCAGCTCAAAGCATTGGAATATAATGAAAATGTTCTTTTTTTTTTTGGGGGGGGGGGGGGGAAGTTTATAAAGTGACACTCATTACTTAGATCCATTACACAGATAAACTCAAATTTTCTGAGACACTGAATTGTTTTTTTATTATTTAAAAGCTATAATCATAATTACAAAAAAATAAAGGTTTGAAAAATTTCACACCATGTGCAACGAATCTATGCGATTTGAGTTTTACTTTCTGAACTGACTGTCAAAAAAATGTATATAATGCTATACAAATGTTTCCAGATGTGCCAGTATTATAGGAACTCATTCGTTTTGAACATATTAACATCTGTAACATTATTTTATCGAGGTGAATATTCTACCCTATCTTTGTATTTGATTAGTAAAACTGACATTTGTAGAAGCCACAGGCTGTAAACGAAGAACAACTTTCTGTAAAGGAAATTATACCGTCACTGCACTACACAGCATGGTACGGTTTCTAAGCAGTACAACAAAAGCTGCGCTCTTCAAGACTGCAGATCAGGAGGAAATTATACAACTTATGTGTCATATGGTAACCTGGAAAACTGGGGTCATAATGATTAAGTCACACTAAAAACAGTGCTGTTAGAAATAATGACATAAATTGATTAAAACAAACAAAAGTCTAAAGCAGAGGGAACAAGACTTTCATTCAAAAACCCAGACATTCATGTACAGAAAACACTGGACCTCAACCTTTAATAAAATACGATAAACGGATGGGTTGAAATGCTCTGCTTTCATTTTCTAACAAACACAACAGAATACACAAAATAGTTATTTTCCTTACACTTGTTTGTAGTTAACGGCTGTGCGTTTATAGTATTTTCACTGCCACTTTTCCCAACACGCTGTCTAACCTGTAAGTGTTCTGCTGTAAACTGAAGAGGATTGTCCTCGCCTGTAAAACAAGCCTGACTTCACTACAAGTTAAGAACACAAAAATGAGATGACTATTCAGGTGAAAAGTGCTATTGGAACACAAAAGGTAACTATTAATCGAGTCTGCCCTCCTGTGGAGAAAATATACTCAATTTTGTTCTTTTTAATTTTTTTTCTTTTAAAAATTGTGTAATTAACCGCAACACATTCACAATCTTCAGATTACATGTAAGTCTATAAT